AATACGTACCATATTTGCAACATGCACCATATGTGCAAATACGTACCACGTTCACAAATACATACAACATGTTCAAATTTTGTGCCACCTATAAGGATAAACCTATTGGCCATAGTCCTCAATAGTGCTTGCAAACTTTGGCATCCACAGAAGTTCAGCTGTCTACACAGTTGTGTGCCTGCTCTTGCTGACAGTTCAGCCGTTTGTAGGCGTTTGGGGGATGGGGAGAGGTCGACGCCCCCAGAGGCTCGGGTTCACAAGCAATTTCGACAGCAATGCTGGGAAGGCAAAGTGTCCAGGATGTGGCATGTGGCTTGGCAAAAGCAGGAACGGTTACAATGCCCACACAAGGGATTGTAACCAATGGCAGTGGTTGAAGGACCAGGAGCGGGATCAATTGCTTGCTCCTGGACACGAGGCCGGCCATGCACAGCTGGTGTGGCAGGACCTACCTGCCGACGATGGACAAGCACCACAAGACAGCGACCCTGTTGAGGCGTCAAGCCCCAGAAGTGCAATGGATGTATCAGATCAGCAACACTCGTCTGACAATATGGAGGCGGATGGTGAAGATTTTGATGAGGCATCCAGTATTGGCAGCCATGAGCATCCCAACAGCAGTACTCGTAGCATTGGTGCTAGAGGCAACGATGGGGACGAGTGTGATGATGACAGTAGGGATGAAAATCGCATTGATGCAAGGATACAGACCGAAGACTGGGATTCAGAAACTGCTTCTGATGCATCTGAAGACTCGTATGCGCATGACCAGGGCCCTGAAAACAACAATACAGAAGAAGTTAGTGACCAGGAACATGGCCAAGAGAATCCAGAAGATGGTGAGCCCAACTTCAATTGTGACCAGTCAGGAGGCGAAGGTAGTGGTAGTGAAGATGAAGGCAACATCAGGAACTTTCAGTGGTATCAAGACCATAGGCATGATCCGTTGTACACGGGCTGCAGGCTGACATGTCTGCAGGTTGCATTCCTGATGCTAACACTGAAGCTGCGATTCCACCTTACGGATGTGGCGGTAGATGCAATATGCAAAATACTGGCAAAGTTTCTGCTCCCTGAAGATAACACAATGCCACACAACTTATATTTTCTCAGGCGGATCTGCAGCGTTGAGCAGTCTGAAGCAATAACTTACCATTGTTGTACAAAGGATCATTATGTTTGGCCATGGCTTGCAAAGCGGTATTGGACAGCTCATTATGAGGACGTTTGCCCCATCCCCGGCTGCGGTGCTAGGAGGTTTAAGGAAAGGAAAAGTGGGCATGGGAGGCAGGCAGGTGTACCCATACCAAACAAAGTGGTGTACTATTTTGGCATTGAGAGGTGCGTCCAGTTCCTGCATTCCATTCCGATGTGGAATGCTGCTAGAACAGAACTCAGCAGGGATGTTGATACTGAAATTTGCGGCACAATTTTTGGGTCAGAGATGTGTAGGACACTTGACAGTGTTGTGCCTGGGGGACTGCTTGACAAACGGATTGGCTTGTACGAGATTGGGATAGATTGGTTCTCCTTTTTTGCAGACAAAAGGCAATCGTTGACTACAGGGTTGTTGGGCTTCAGAGCACTTGACTTGCCGGGATGGATGAGACAACGGAGGGCAGCACATTTGCCTCTTATGATACTACCAGGGCCCAAGATGACTGCTGAAGTGGATGTCTACGTGAAGCTTGTGGTGCATGATTTCCAGCGATGGTGGCGTAATGGACAACTGGCTACAAACGGCATTGCAGTCAATGAGCTCAACATCGATGATGCCACAGGAATACCAAGGATCCAATCCAAAACCACTGAGCACTGGCCCTTGCTTGTATCGTGGGTTGGGGACAACCCAGCACGGCAGAAAGTGGCCGCCCTAAGGGGGCATGCAGCCGCTCGCGCTTGCGGCTACTGCTGGATGAGTGGAGAACGGATCAACAACAGGACTGTTTTCAGGGGGTACACTGTCGCCTCGATTTTGGGAGACATCCCCACAAGACCAGCCACCACAGCTGGCCGTCTGACTGCCAAGGTTGGGGATTTGGAGGTGGTAAAAACCTGCGAAGAGATGGTACTTGCTGGAAGCATGGCACAAAGCGGGCAATGGCATCCGCGTGATGCAGGCTGCAACGGATTGTCCTCTGTGACACAGCTGAGCTACGTGGACTACCAAAACATATGGGCCCTAGGAGTAGCACACATATTGTTGCTTGGTCTCATTCCAGACTTCATGAAGGCTGTTTTTGCACCCGTGAGTTCAGAGGAGGGGTATATCGTTAGCACAGAGAAGAGGCGGAAGGTGCAAGCACGGCTGGCTGCTATACGCATGCCAACAGGGCGTCCTAAACCCCTTTGCATAGTGGATGGTCGGGGCAATTTCGACATGTCACAATGGTGGTTGCACACAAAGTGAGCAAGATGGGATAGCTACTACACTAGTGGTGGTTGGGTCGCTATGCTCAATGACCATATCGCTCGTTTGCATTGTGGTGACCATAGCTATTTGGAGTTTTGCCAACAACATCAATTTGGATGCAAGCATCAATTCACGACTATTGCCCTGTTGTTTCGAAAATATGTGGGAATATGCCTTGAATGACTCACTGAACAAAATCCCACTGACCCAGCCATCCCATTCTGAACCCTCCAGAGAGATCCTATATCACTTGATATGATTGTGGAGCATCTGGACACAATCCCAAGTATAGCATGGACTGCATCCACAATGGCCCTAGGCATTGTCCGAGCATGTGAACATCATCCAATTTGCTTACTGGTGTTGTGCAATTGCAACACAGGTGCCTTTCTTTGTTTCTCTTCATGGGAGACATCTTCACAACAGAAGTACAAGAAGCCTGGTTGCTCTTGCGGAAAGCAGCTGTGCACTACTTGCAAGCAAAGAAGGTGTGTCAGGTCAGCTATGACGACTTTAGGGAGGAGGCAATGGAGGCACACTATAGCCTATTGGAATATGCACAAAAAGCTGAGGTATTGTTTGGTTCCCAAATATGCACATATAACTTGCACACATTGGCATGCAGAGCATATAAGCAAGAGCTTGTGCGTGGGCCAACACGCTTCGAGGTTGAGTTTTGGGTGGAAAGGTTGATACAAGAACTTAAGCAACGCGTGAAGTACAGGGCTAAAGGCAACCCAGAAGTTGTGTTGGTGCATGACCTACTGGACACTTGGGCAGTGAAGCGCCTCATTGAAGCTGATCCTGCTGGTTGTTTGCTGACAATAGATGCCGTCCTGGGCACTTCTGAGGGTTTCCCTCGTAGTACACCCCTGTCACCTGAGCACAACACAGTGGACTTTAGAGGTGCTAGTCATTTGGCTTCAGGGGCCATTTTCGCCCAATTGAGAGCAAAGGTTGCAAATTATTGGCAGCAATTCTATAGAGACGACCCTTCTGGATGGACAGCGAACGAAATGCGAATGGCAGAGTTTCGGGTGCACAAGCGCTGCAAGATATGGCGAGGGGGTGAAGAGTCAACATTGCACTCAGATGCATATGGACGCAGTCGCTCAAACTACTTCCTTACAACCTATGAATACTTGGGGAGAGTGCAGCACTATGTGATTAACATCAAGCAATTTCTGGAAGTAGGAGACAAAGGCATGTGGGGGCATGACAACTTGCACCTTGCCCTTGTGGACATGTATGATGCCAATATCACGAATGACAATGGTAGGGCCTTGCTGCAACTACTCAATGTGCCCAACATGCAGCGACCTAGTTACCCAGACTACCCCGTCAAGGTCGAAGACATAAGGACACCATTGATTGCTTGTTTATCTGGCCGTAAAGGGTATTTTGTGGCCGACAACCCGGTTGAGGGATTTTGAGGTGTGCCATATGGTGTTGGCAGTATGATGTTGACATGTGTAAGTGTTTTTGGAACATTTTGCAATTTTGGCTGCACTGCTTCAGATTGTCCGATGGGAATCAAACAACATCTCCCTGCTAGCTTTGTTGAGAAGGAAGGGCAATTTGCTCTCATTTTTTTATCAAGGGAGGTTTTCTTATCAAGTGATGACCTTGGTAGCATAATGCTGATGTGTGTGTGTGTGTGTGTGTGTTTTGGAACATATTGCAGCCTTGGCTGCACTGGTAGGCTATCCTATTGGGATCAATCAGTAGGCCTTGCCAGCCATGCTGAGTGGGAAGCGCCCTATGTTTTCGTTTTCTTATCCAGACAGGTTTTCTTATCATGATGAGACAGCCTTGTCAGTGTAGTGTTGGCAAGTGTACATGTTTTGGGAATATACTGCAATGTTGACTGCATTGGCTTTGGTTCAAGTTGTCACAATAGGATCAATCAGCACCGCCCTTGCCATCCTTGTTGTGAGGGCAAGGGCCCTTTGCTCTCCTTTCCTTATCAAAGAAGGCAGTGAGGATCAGTGCTGTGCACCGGATGGGAAACCAATTGTACATAAAAAATTTGAGTGTGGGAAACTCTATTTGGTAGACATGTCTCCAGCGACACAAGGAATCTACCCTTCTTCAACTGCTTCTTTGGGAAGGGCGCATTCACGTGCATCATCAGCTTCAGCATCTCGTTGTTGGGCTTCACAGAGAAAGAGATATTGCCAGTGAACTGTTCCGACTCGATGCACCCAAGCGACCAGAAATTCATTGGGTTACCCAACGGTATACAGCACACGCACAACAATTTGGTGACAGCACAGCCATTCTCACACACTCCCCAACTGGGTCTGCCGAAGTGTGTTGATCCACAACTGCGTCTAGCCATTGGGAGACCTGAACTTGACATTTCGTTAATGAGCTATCGAGTGAACAAGTACAAGTGTTCACAGGTCCATGTGCTTTCACCTGTCCAACAGCATTACTTTGAAACCCTTTGATCTTCGGCAGGGTGACATACTTGCACTGCACAAAGGACCAACCTTGCCCTTTAGATGAGATCGTTCAGAATTGGCGCAGGCAGCTCCGCAAAGAGATGCGCAGGCAGGAAGCTTCCATTTGAACGCCTCAGTCGCTATAGGAGGCGCAGATCCGTTGTGTTGCCCAGCGAGATCGCGAAGTGACGTGTCCACTCTCGCGGGGTCACCAGCGGCAGATCGTGCGGCATCGTGGACACCATCGCGACCTGCATCTCACGGCGATCCTTGAACACAAATAGAATGGGCACTACCAGGTCGTCTTGCAAGCCATCTCAAAAGTGGAACGACTGTGGTAGAGGCCATACCCAAGTAACTAAAAAAAAGTAAAGCCCGGTAAAGCCCGGGACAAATGTAGTCGAAACAAGGGGTATGATGATATCCAGGTGCCTACAAAGCCATGAAGGACAAGGTGAACATCAGCAATGCATTGTCCCCAACGGCGGGCATCGTCTCAAGCCTTTAGGGGAGCCCTAAAGGCCGAGTTTGTTCACATGAAGAGCAACTAATTCCTGGGGGCCATCCACCCACCTTGATGCCGTATCTAGTTGAATATGCCTTGGCCCCAGCTACTGCCACCGCCCCTGCCAGATCCAAAATCGAGCGTGTCTGGTTGTACACATCCTTTATTGCAGCACTGATTTCGGATTTGTCGACCAAAACGACACCATCAACGACCTTCTGGCACAGCCTGAAGGTCTCCTTGCCAACCTGTGCAGCAAAACATAACACGCCATGAGTGCACCAGGCAACAGTCCAGAAGGCCATGTCTATGTGATGCCATTCAAAAGAAAGAAAGAATGCCTTCTGGGGCTGCTATTGACTGGCATTTTTCATGCGGTTCAAAGGCGGACAGAATCCAAGTCCTTGATTGGGACACACCATCAGCACTGGAAAACAACACCCAACATCGCTTGACTTGCAGAAGGGCAGTGCTTTGTCATGCCCTTAACAAATGCAACAGTCCAGAAGGCCATGTCTATGTGATGCCATTCAAAAGAAAGAAAGAATGCCTTCTGGGGCTGCTATTGACTGGCATTTTTTCATGCGGTTCAAAAGCGGACAGAATCCAAGTCCTTGATTGGGACACACCATCAGCACTGGAAAACAACACCCAACATCGCTTGACATGCAGAAGGGCAGTGCTTTGTCATGCCCTTAACAAATGCAACAGTCCAGAAGGCCATGTCTATGTGATGCCATTCAAAAGAAAGAAAGAATGCCTTCTGGGGCTGCTATTGACTGGCATTTTTTCATGCGGTTCAAAAGCGGACAGAATCCAAGTCCTTGATTGGGACACACCATCAGCACTGGAAAACAACACCCAACATCGCTTGACATGCAGAAGGGCAGTGCTTTGTCATGCCCTTAACAAATGCAACAGTCCAGAAGGCCATGTCTATGTGATGCCATTCAAAAGAAAGAAAGAATGCCTTCTGGGGCTACTATTGACTGGCATTTTTTCATGCGGTTCAAAGGCGGACAAAATCCAAGTCCTTGATTGGGACACACCATCAGCACTGGAAAACAACACCCAACATCGCTTGACTTGCAGAAGGGCAGTGCTTTGTCATGCCCTTAACAAATGCAACCAGAAGGAAATGCCCACCTGCTTCACAGCAACACCATCAGCAAAAGCATCCACGGCAGACAGCCGCACACGGTAGCTCTTGCTCAGGGACATCGCCAACGCATTGGCCCCCGCGGGCTCCACACCGATCATCTTCACCTCTGGCCGCAGAGCCTTGAGGTATGTGCCGATCCCTGCGATGAGGCCGCCACCCCCAATGGCGACAAAGACAGCATGCAGGTCCTCCTCAGCCTGGTACTGTTCTAGAATCTCTTCGCCGATGGTGCGGCATCGCGGGTGGCGTCCCGTCCATCGCCTGGTGGCGCCGCGAGTGGCACCGTGCAGGGCGTATGGAGAAGGCGGGGGGGCAGAAAGGACGTGGCGGACATGGCATCGCGGGAGCCATCACAACTTCACTGTTTGACTTCAACCTGGGCTCGTGTATTCTGTCGAAGGGCGTCGCGGATGCCATCACAGCAGCCATCGCAACTACCATCCCAGGTCGGTCAGATGGGGGATCGGTGGGTCAGCATCGCGGATGCCATCGCAAAAGGCGCCACAACGGCCATCCCAGGACGGTCAGATGCGCGATGGGTGCCTCACCATCCCGGATGCCATCGCAACGGGCGCCACAAAAACCAGTCTATTGTGGCGACGGACATTGAGGCATCGCGGATGCCATCGCAACAGGCGCCACAACTGCCATCACAGGTCGGTCAGATGTGCGATGCCTGTGGGCGCATCGCGGATGCCGTCGCAAAAGGCGCCACAGCAGCCATCCCAGGTCGGTCAGATGCGGGATGGGTGCCTGACCATCCCGGATGCCATCGCAGCAGGCGCCACAACAGGCATCCCAGGTTGGTCACATGGGCGATGGGTGCCTGACCATCGCGGGTGCCATCGCAACGGGCGCCACAAAAACCAGGCTGTTGTGGCGACGGACATTGAGGCATCGCGGATGCCATCGCAAAAGGCGCCACAACTGCCATCACAGGTCGGTCAGATGTGCGATGCCTGTGCGCGCATCGCGGATGCCATCGCAAAAGGCGCCACAGCAGCCATCCCAGGTCGGTCAGATGCGGGATGGGTGCCTGACCATCCCGGATGCCATCGCAGCAGGCGCCACAACAGGCATCCCAGGTTGGTCACATGGGCGATGGGTGCCTGACCATCGCGGGCAGTTTTTGCGTTGTATTTACGTATTTTTACGCATTTTTACGCGTAAAAACGTAAAAATTATTTTTACGCGTAAAAACGTAAATACGATCAGTTTTTACGGCGTAAAAACCAAGCCTGCTTATGGCTAGCCGCTTGAGATTTAGGCTTACCTGGAATGCCAAGGGGTGGAACATTGGCCTGGAAGGTCTTGTTTCACAGTTGGAATGATTGGGGTTGAGGCAGGGGGGATTTCGCCATGCTTAACGTAGAATTAACTCAAGTGGGGAGTGATCAAGACTTGTGACGCTGAGGAATTGCGCGACGGTGATGCCAATGTGATGACCCCAATACTTGTTCAAGTCGTGGTAATGGTTGCTGGCCGCTGATCCAGGCCACCCCCTCCAATTTCCTTGGAGACCCACCAGCGACAAGCCGCAAAGTCAGAATGCCGACAAATCTTCAACCAAACGGTAATATGACCTGCCATCAATACATTATGGCGTGTACAGTCCTTGAAGGATTATGGTTAAGGAATGTAAGATTTGTTAGAAAAAAAGAAAAAGATCGGCCATACAAAGGGCAGCCCCTCCTAAGCAAGTGTATGCGAGACATTTTTCCACGCTGTGAAAGAGATTGCACTATAGTTTGGAAAGGTGGCGGGAGCTTAGCCTCAATTTGCCTTTAAGCGTTGCAGCATCGCCATTTGTATCACCCCTCAAAGATGCACAAAGTGTCAACAACACATCTTGTTGCTGATTGCGAGTCCAGCTTTTTCGTGGTGCTTGGTCGAGTACTGGTGATACGCGTCCCTCCTGAAGAACTGAGTTGCACGAATACCCCTATGTTGCATCGACCAACGCACTACAACCCGCACTTCAACCCAAACACTCAAAAGTCAGAGGCCAGAAATGGGCAGAGTCCCGTGCGAAAATCGACCTTGCCATCTCCGGCTCCGGTGTGATGCTACCCAACTTCAATGACTTGCGTATGGGGGTGGGGGCGTCCTCGCGGGTGCCTTCAGGATGGGCGGGCCCTCGTCGGCCGAGAAAGACAACGCCCCAGCGGGGGCGTTTGTGGCTTTGGGATGCCCACGCAGTAGTCCTCCAGTGTGACCAAGGGTGGGCACTCGTGACTTTGGGGCGCCAACGACGGGGTGAGACAGGTGAGGGCGGGCGAGATCGAGCACTGCTCCCGTGGTGTTCGCCACACAGCTCGCCAGCGATGTTGATCGAGAATGACAAATACAGGCACCATTCCGTAATAGCTGGCCTGCCCTGGACGGATGTCCCACCCACAAACACCGGTGAGCAAGTGGACGCTCACGTGACTCTCGGGGCTCACTCCTGCACGGCGCCGTTCGCGCTCACCGCCAATGACGTAGTCCCATGCCCCCCAACCCCATCCCCCCTCGGCCTCTGTTGCCCATCGTACCTCTCGAGGTAGCTGCGGTGGGCCCCTTTGGGCGGACGCCCCCTTACCAGTCCCCGGTTGGGCCCACACCCTCCCTGCGTCGGGCCTCCAAACAGAGGAACAAACTGAGAACCGGGTAAGGCGATTGGGATCCCAAACTGGGTGTGCGGTGACTTGGGAGGCGGGTAGGTCCCGCCTGGGCTGCGCTGTGATGCCCGCGCACCGGCATGGCCGCGCCGAGGTGGGAGGGAACACGGCGGTTGGCTCGGTGCATGCGTGCATGTGGGTGGTCTTCGTTGCAATGGGCGCGGCAGCGGCCGTGGAGCTGGAGGGGCCAGCGTCCGAGGGGCGGCTGTTCACAGACGAGTGTGAATCGACAGAGAGGGGCGGGTTGCGAAATTATGTGGACAACCTCGAGGTGGACAACTCCAATCCGCAGTACCACGACATGGATGGCGCGAGGTTCAAGCGCGTGAACGCGCGGGACGGATCGGTGCGCTACGACTCTCTTCAGGGGTTTGTCTCCGCGAGGGTGACCGGGTACGTCTTCACGCACATGGCGCTGATGAACTGGGAACTGCTGGTGGGGACCGTGGACGTTGAATCTGGGTTTTCGCCGGCAAGGGTGCTCAACAGCAGCAACTTGAACGAGCACGTGGTGGCATCCAGCATGGAGGAGGGGGAGACGGTGGGCTGGGTGAAGTTCCGGGTGGCACTGGAGGGGCTGGTGGTGGACTGTCCGCGCAGCGTGCAGGTGGAGATGCGGGGCAGCGCCACCGCGGACACCAACGCTGGGTGGGGCCTGCAGCTTGGGGCGGTCGAGCTGGAGGAGAGCGCGACCCCGATGTGCGGGATCCCTTCGTGTGTGCCCGGTCAGGAGATTTTGGACAAGTGCGGGGAACCGCGAGCGAGCGAGGGCCTCACGGGGCTGCTGGATGACACCGATTCGATCGACGCGAATGTTTACGAGGCGACGGCCAACGTCGTGGTGGACCGGTCCAACGCGTCGGCCTTCTTCGCCGGGGATGCAGCGCGGTTCAAGCGGGCGGACGGCGCCCCCGGCGGGGTCACGTATTTCGTGCCCGAGGGCGTGCTGTCCATGTCGCTCACGGTGTTCGCCTGCGGCGGCGTGGGCCGCCTCACGGTGACGCCCTACTCGGACCCCGATTGCAGGCCCCTCTCGGTGCGGCCAATCCTGGACGACTCCGGCTTCGAGGCGGGTTGCTGGCGCATGCTGCGCGCCAACCTGGACTTCGGCTCTTCCGACTGCCCCCCCACGTTCGTGGGGATCCAGATGGAGGGCGGGCAGGGCTGGGAGTTGCAGCTCTCGGAGGTGCGGCTCACCGGCTACGGGGTCGCCCAGAACGCCGCGGGCCTGACTGCCCTCGCGCAGCGCCCGCAGAAGGGCAGGAGCGTCGTGGAGCGGTTCTTCCCCGTGCTGGTGCTGGCCGCATGCCTGAGCGGGATAGTCGCCATCACGCTCGCGCTGAAGGTTACGCGGCTGTGCCGCGGCGCAAACGGCTCCCCGCCCCAGCTGGTGCGCTGGATCGCCAACAACGAGTTCGGCCGCGGCGACGGCACGGGGGGAAAGCCCGACAAGGCCGCATTCGACCGGATCTCCACTTTCACCAGCCTCACGCCGAGGGGCACCAGCCTGGGAATGCAGGGCTACTCCTCGCCTGCCAAGAGCAACAGCCTGAGCCCGCGGGGAACCGCCCTGGGTATGCAGGCATACCCCTCCCCTCGCACCGGTGCGGCGATCGGCCCTCGCGGGGTACAAATGCACGGATACTCCTCCCCTCATACCAAACCGACGATTAGTCCGAGGGGGTCGCAGATGCATGGATACTCTTCGCCTGGAACCCAGCCCACGGTCAGTCCAAAGGGCGCGCAGAAGCAAGGATATGCCGCACCCATGAAGCCGATCTCCGAAGCCGCCAGCCTGCGCAGCATTAGCTTCTCCAGCGAGGTGAAGGCCAAGGTGGAGCCCCCGCGGCGCCAGGGGCACAGGCGCGGCTCCTCCTTCTTCGAGCAGCGCATGCGCGACATCCAGAAGACCTTCGCGCCTGCTAAGAAGCCCGCAATGGCGAATCGAGAGGGCGAGCTGGTGCGGGAGAAGATGGTGGGGCAGGGGGGTTTCGGCAGCGTGTGGAAGGCCACATGGGAGGGGGCGCCCGTGGCTTTGAAAATTGTCGCCTTGCCTGCGTCGCTGAGCGCCGAGGCCAGGAAGGCGCGAATGGCTGTCACGGAGGCAGCCGTCTCGGGCTGCCTGGCGCACCCGAATGTTGTTCAGACTTTCACTTGTGACGTGCGGGCCACACCGGGGGAAGAGGGGGGCGAGGGGGACGCCGCTGCCAAGGGCAGCAGGCCGTGGACACCGTGGGGGGAGTTCGCGGGACAGAAACGCCGGGGGGTGACAAATTTCATTGCGGGGGGGTCGCCGAGGCGGCTGGAGATACGGCTGGTGATGGAGTACTGCGACGGGGGTTCGCTCAGGGACGCACTGAGAGAACGCAGGTGAGCGCACTTTGGGTCACCAGCAAAATGAGGGCAAGCTTTCTTTTGATTCCACAATATTACATAACATTTCGGTCACCACCAAAAGAGGGGGTCAACGTTTTTTCTTGTTTCCGAAGCACATATCACAATTGCGTTGGGAAACGTGCTGTCAAAACACCTGGCAAGTGCTTCGAGTTATAACTCAAGCATTTGCCCAGTCCAGCTCTGTTAGCAAGGGGACTTTCGTTCGCGCTCCGGCTTCAGTTGGGAAGATACCCCCATTTGCACCAGCACAAAACCGACATTTCTGTGACGCCGACTGCGATCACATTTTACGCTAATTGATGCCATCACATACCCTTTTGCACCATCGCAATCAGTGTGATGGCGGCACTTTGTGTGAAAATGGCATCGCAGCTGGTATCGAAAACATGGTGTCTTCTGATAGTGTTGAGCGACGATGCCGAAACTGCAAGTCTCCGCTGAAAGCTCGCAGCAATCCCTGTGGCTTTAATTTTGGTTTGCAGAAGCCCCGGCATTTGTTCCATGCTTTGGAAAGTGCTGTGCGAGCGCTTATCGGATCCCTCCTTGGACATTCTCTGGTGTCTTGTTCGTCATTGGCGCCCTACATTGGCATAAGGATATTAGGTGCGGTGCAAATATAGTATTGTTTGAAGCAGGTATTGCCGGCCGCACTTGGGCTACATAAATGACTCCTGCACAGCGGTAGTTGTGAAAATGACTTATTGCATTGTCGGCAGCATTTCTCAGCGCCGTGCATCACAGCACTTGAAATTACGAATGCTGGAAACGCAGGTTCTTGGACAAGGCGGGCCGACCGGTGTTTGAGCATGTGCTTCTGACGGCCCTGGACATTGCCCGAGGCATGCGGTGCCTGCATCACAGCAGAATAATTCACGGGGACTTGAAGCCCGGCAACGTGCTCTTGAAATTGGCGAGCGGGGACGGTCGCAACCTCATAGCCAAAGTTGCGGATTTTGGAGCGAGCGTTCCGATGGGCCAATCGCAGTCATGCACTGTTGGAGGGAAACGGGTGAGCAGTCTTGGATCAGTTCTTGCATCCTGTGGCGCGCAAGAGGTTCAGTAACAACGACACCTGGAGTGGTGCAGCTGCTTGCTTTCCGGGATCAGCCTCGGCTAGCGTTTGAATGGTCACAAAGGTGTCCTGCGCGTACCAAAATTCATGGTATTAGTTTCGGAAGTGCCAAGTGTTGGCGTCAATCTGCGAGACCAAGTGGGGTGTATGACTGCAGGTCTGCTGCTATTCGCATGTGGCTATCGGCTACGTAACAAAAGCGCAACAGCCCTGAACATGGCTTAGCAGATGTCCCGCTGTGTTGACCTGCAAGGAAAACGCAGGCTCTCTTTTCAGTTGTCTGTCCCCATTCCGTCAATTTGCAGGGATGCATGTGTTGTTCGTTATCTGCACAGAGATTTTCAGCAAGTTTGTCTGCCTCAAAAGCTCCAAATGATACTGGTCAGAATTTAACATGAAGTTATCACAATGGGCTCCAGTTGTGTCATACCTGCTTATAATTAATCGTGCTTGCGTGGTTTTATCCCTGGACTATGCCAGCACCGGATTTGTGCTGTGGTTTGGAGCACGGTGTGAGGGCTGCGAATCTACCAAATGCCGATCTCATACTCGCAAGCCGGCTGAAGCGATCCCTAGCACTGTGGAGTGCACGGTTTTCATGCAATGTCTCAGATGTGGGAAGTGCAGTTCACACTACAGTTCTTTGATGGCCATCAATTGGACTGAAACATCGAATTCGTCTGCTCAGCTAGCACTGAATGCAAGATAACTGTACATCGTGCCCGACGCAAATCCCATCACGGCTGGCGGTGGTGATGTTGTTGATAATCGCCATAGTGCCGTTGATGTTGTTACGAGTTTGTGTCTGAGTGCTTTGCCATCTTTCATAGCGCTCTTCACAACCATCCACAATGATTGGCATCTTGCGCTGGGTAAATCTTGCTTTGAAACCCCACATGTGTGCCTCGTTTATGCTATCAGGGTACAGAAGGGTACATTGCCCCTGAGGTGGCCTCCAATCAAGTGATGTTCCCGGCATCTGACGTGTACGCGTTCGGAATGCTCTTGTGGGAATTGTACACGTCTCGAAACATTCGAGAAGCGATGAAGGAGGAAGCATTGCAGACTGATCTCAAAGTGGTGCGCTGGAGGCCCAGGTTCCCTGCGGACTGCCCGCGGTCATATGTCAGGCTGGCAGGGGCGTGCTGGAACGAGTACCCGGACTGGCGGCCAAGCTTTGAGGCAATCGTGCCAAGGCTTGTGAGCTTGCTGAATACGGCCTCCCTGAATCTCTAAAGTACTGGCCCGCGCTGAATGATTGTACGCTTTGGGCCCAAGGCTGTATCATTTGAGGGGTTTTATCCGCTCCCGTGCATTCGGAAACAAGGCTTCGCTTCTCCGGAAGAGAGCAGTGAGAATTTTGAGTACAGCCGGCGCATTTTTAGTAAGACCCAGCGCCAGCCTCTGCCAGGGAGGAGCGCCTCAAAGGGCGCAATGAATGGTGCAGGAGTGTGCACGCTACTGGACGTGTGCATCTGTCCATTCTGCGTCGGGTAACAAACGCGCTTTCACCAGCGGAATTTCGCGAGTGCATTCAGAGTGGTGCGGAAGCTCCGCACACAAATCAAGGCGACTTTGAATGAAGCACAGATGGTCATGACGAGAGCACTCATGGAATAGTTTTGCTGCGAATTGGAGGCTGTTGCCTTGGCTTTGAGGGCAAAGCGACATCGAGATAAAAAATGCACACGCCCAAGTTGCGCTTTTGCCCAGAGCTGATGCCACATGCCATCCTCTTCCGCACCAGTGACCGCGGGTAAAAGACATGCCACATTCAAATCGCTGAGTGGTGTTTGCAATCGATTCAATCCAAACATTGGCAAGACGCTTGGAGGCATGGGATTGTACTATCCTGGAAAAGCTGGGACATTGACGCTGAAGCGCCACCATTCATGCCTTCCACACGCAAGGCGTGATCGTAGTATCGGTTTTTGGTGCCGGATGGTCAGGATCAAAGAATGCGAGGATATGGAGACATGGGTCGATGCCTCAGTCATCACATAACAGATCATTAGGACTATAATAATGGGTCCTCTGATGCATTCGAGCCAGGCTCAATGCACGCAAGTCCATGGGCAACACCTTGGTGGTTGCGTACCAATAAGGTGGAAAGAGATGTCAGTCTGCAAGGCATTGGGGCAAGCGCGGCTGGAAGGCTGAGTGCAAATGTTTGAATGTGCGCCATCCGCCCCAATGCGGGCCGACACAGGAAACGAGATGATTTTTGTGTGCTTGGAGACTTGGATGTGGGCGCTCTAGCACAGAATGAGATCAAGCGAAAATATTAGGGTAAATCATGGCGACCGTGGCGAAAACGATTTGGCTCTTACCTAATAAGAAATCACACCGCCTCTGGCCTGTAGGCATCATGTCGTGCATGGGGAAAAGATCGGCAGCATGTTGTAAAGTACGAGTCGCTCAGGAGATTCGGTCTGTGTGTGTTTTTGTACAAGCCTGGAACATGGCGCGTTGTCGCTACGCTCACAGGTCGCCCCGCCAATCAGTTGCGATGCATCCTTGCACACAACGTGAAAAAAAGATGGCCGCCAATGGCGACTGATAAATGGCCACTCATCTGCTCAAGAACAGAAATCGGCGCTGCCGTCCCTGTGGCCGTGGATGTTGCGCAAGTCTGCCGCTGTTGAATGCCATCCTGTATATGGCTTCAGGAATCTGACAGCAAGCTGACTAACAAGATTAGTAATAAGCAATCCTGGTTAGCGTTGTCAAATTTCGCTGCTAATGCGGCGCAAAATCGCCGAATTGAATTCCGTAGCGCTTGCGGCTCGCAGGGCCCACGCCAACGCCAGCCATCACATAAGAGTAATCACGACGCAGTTTCACCCCAGCTACCCCACGACCTGATCGGGTCATTGGGCAGGTCGCTTGAAACTGCATCATGTCCCTCGGGCAATTGGGAGATTGGACTGCGACCGATCACACCCGGCACAGCTGTGCTGACGACTGCCACATGCACGGTCTTTTTGCCGCGCGACAGATACGAGCAAGCTCACTGGCAGCGAAGTGGACGCCGCACCAATCCCTGAAAATGGCGCAGGAGCGCAGGCGACCTCATCTCACCGTCTTGTCGCCGTCCGACAGCACTTTGAGCGGTGGCTGACTGCGAGTTGGATGGCACATCACGTCAGCCCGGAGATTTCATTGGGAACGGGGATGCAGGGAAGCGTAATGCTTCCACGCAGCCCGGCACCCCTTATTCCAGCGCCCGGCTTGCACGGACTGGACGGGCTGGACAGCCGGGCGCCTGAGGCCACAGCCGGCAGCGGAGGTCAGGGCGGCGGCGAGATGGGCCGGAGGCTTCTCCTGGCGTTCCTGCTGGGGCTGTGCCTGTCGGGTGAGGATGCGGTCGCAGCCACTGCCCACCACTTGCTCACCGCGTCGCTGGCGTGGGGCAGGCTTGTAAATTTCATGCACGCCAATATGTTGTTGTTTGGCTTAGACGGGGCGGGGTGGGGATGCGAAGTGCGGGCAGGGGCCGCCGGCGCTCAAGGGGCCTTGATCCTTTGCGTGGAGAAGGGCGTGCGCGTCGCCCTTGGGGCCCACGAGTGGATTTGTCAGGTGGCGCAGGTCGTTCCCGCCGCGCAGCTGCGCCGCGCGCTCTTGCAGTCGCGGTGTGCCGGGTGTCCGGCTGCCCATGTGGCGGTGTCGTGCGCGCGTGTGCGATCGTCGCCAGCCTCGCGTGCGCGACGCTGCCTTTTGGCGTTCGGTTCCGGCAAGGAAAAGTAGCCGGCCGTTGCGCAAACTTCCTCCTGGCAACTGATCAATCTCCACACGAGATTCGGAGCGCTGTTCGCTGGCTGGCAAATGGGGACCACGTTTGTCCCCACTGCCTATCCCACTCTCCTCAAGGCCTTCGGGGGTCTCCCGCTACCAGGTGCAATACCAAAACCATGACGTTGATGTCTGGGCAAGGTACCAGCCCTGATACATCAGCTATATGGCTGCGCGCCGCCCGGCCACCGTCTCCAGGCGAACCTGCTGCCAGTCAACTGACACAGACAGCCCACCGTTGGGCCCGTCTGCCTCGAATTGGCACACATGTCTGTCACGTTCGATCGGTCACGGGACTGGGGCCCGTACCATCCTACCCGCCCGTTCACCCAGCTCTTCCGTGCCAGTCCCGCTACGACGCCTCCCATTTCACAGAGGAGCGGCGATCATCGGGGGAGTTGGAGGGGTTCGTCCACCGGCCCTTCCAGGGCGGCACACAGCGTTCCCGTTAAGCTCGGTTCCAGTCCCTTGAGGGCTCTTGGCCTCCGCTGGAGCTCGTGTGATACACAGTGCTATTGGGGCTGCTGTCCCGGCTTGGGCCGCCCACGGCGACCCCCCCCTGCGAAGATTCCTCGATTTGGAGCCGCCCGGGGCCGGACGCGTCAGGGTGCCGCCCTGGCGCCGGCCCAATCTCCACAAGCGCCGCTGCAAGACACCCGCGAACCCTGATGCGGAGGGCGAATGTACTGCGCCGACATCGCAGTTGTACGTTTAGTACGGTATGTTCTGCAGGGACGACCACCTTTCAATGGCCCTTATGTGGTGCATGCTTGTGCAACGGCTGACTAATTGGCGGCCTCTGTTCTTCATCAGCGGTTTTTGAATGCGGTCGCGTTCGACAAAGCGGCACCCGTGCTGAAGGGATAATTCCACTGCAGTGTAATATGAATACATGCTTTGGAATACTCTACTGCGCAGTGGAATATTACAGCTGGCGGCGTACACAGAAAACAAGGGCGAACAGGCAAAAACTCCGGGTGGAATGGAGGGGTTTTCGGCTGGAAAGGTCTGGTGGACCTCTGCTTGTACCTTCCCTGTACGGCTCATGGGAACAACCCACGCGAACTGAAATTTTGACAAGTGCCTTGGCCACTATTTGACCATGGGCTGTTCTGGGTTGTGTGCCCCTTTTAGCAGTACTGATAAATCACTAGTGACGCGGGCACGTGACATTCCCGTTGCTTGAGCTATATACTGGCAGTCCCGCGCTGCAAGTCTGTGCCCAATTGCAAGAAATCTCTCGATTTTTGCTTGTCAGCTTGATATATCAAGCTGGTATATAGCCTGGTATATACCTGTGTCCTGCTGCCGGTGCGACTGGAGAGCAGCAAAGCCAGCTGCCGGTCGTGGAGCGTTCGTCTAGATGATACCCAAGATCTTGGGCACCAATGTGAGCAGCGCCAAGCTTGTGCAGTTGAGGCAGTGCAGCAGTTTCTTGCATGAGCACCCTTTGCAATGACAGTTTTGAGTGATCGCATCGCTATTTTGAATCGCATGCATTGAATTGATCGTTGTCTTGGATTGCAGGCGTTCACCCAGCGCCAGCACAAGAACTGGCAGCACAACCTACGTAGGTGTATACGGCGTTCTATGGTAGGTTTATGCTGCAAGCGTGCTGCACCCCTTGTATTGTTTTCTGCATTTGCATTGGCTTCTGTCAGATTTCTAGTCCAAATTACGCAGCGCAACCAGTAGCTGAGGTGCCAAACCCGCTCCAAGTAGAGGATGCATGTGTTGGATTGAGCTGCATTTGCACGCGATTGTTATTATGTTATCCTCGATGCACCTTCTCTTGTCGAAGAGTTTCACTGGTAGAAAACGCCATGTTTGCGATGCCAGCTGCGACGCCATTTTTGACACAAATTGATGCTATCACAGTGATTGTGATGGCATAAAAGGGGCTGCGATGGCATCAATTTCTATCAAATGGCAACGTGGTTGGCATCGCAAACAGGCTGTTTTGTACTGGTGTTTGTACACCTGCAAAGGACGGCGGTCCATTCTGGTCGTTATCCACGGAGATAGTGCAGTCTAATCACCCCTGAACGGGCAGCTGAGCCACGCCGACAACCTCGGCATCACGTCAGTTGAGGGTGCACTCAACGACCAAGCTTTGCCCCTCGCGCGAGCCGGCTCTTCACGAAGAACTGCTTGGCATGCCGACGACAACCAACAAAAAACAACGGCGATGGCAAGAGGAGGATTGAAGCGGGTAGCAAACGTCCAACTGCCAGCCATCCATACAAATGCGCTTGTAGAACCTCTCACAGCTGCCGCTCCGAGCGTCGATCAAGTCAGAACGCAAGTCAGGTCCACGGGTCAGGGCTGCTTGTCCACATCACTTCGGTGTATGACACGGGAAACGCCTCTGTCCACATCGACAGGGCTGTGCAGAAGCGAGACTTGGC